GGGCCACGCCTCTTCTTTATTAAGTGTATCACCAGCTACGAGAGAAAAAAGCGTCGCAAGAAGGGTATAAAGGAAAAGAAGAGACAAGCGTGCAACGACGCAGCGCTCCAGTCTGCTTCTGGCTAGCATTTGGACCCGCATTCACTTCCATTTCTGGATTAATGACCACGCACACCTGCACAAAGCGGAGTCCGAATGCGATTGGGGTCGCAACCCGTAGTCCTTGCCCCGGGGCATCGTTGTCCTATAGTCACCGTGTTCGTCGTCTCGAAACGCCGCGAGAATACTTCTCTGCTCGAGGAGCACCCGTTCGCTGACTGCCGATTGGCAATTTGTCCGAGCCGTGCCGCGGGTCTCGCGGGCATACATGTTTGTAACGTTCAATGGGGCACCATATGCGACTCTTCTCCGAGATAAATCTGTTGGAAATTATGATGGAGGGAGCGGGGGTTAGTATTGGCAGATCGATGTTTAGAAGAAAGAAAGCGTTTTGAGAAAATTCAGTAACGATTCGTGAATCCTATTTACGATTGGTACGTCTTATCGTACTTACGTGTAGTCATTTTGCTATACGATTTATTTTCTATGGTAGTTTTCTCCGGTAGCTTCAGGCTGATTCATCGAACAGATTCATACTGGTTTTGTGGATGAAAACGTGAATGGTTAATACACTTGCCGATACGTTGCGTTCGGCATTCGGTTTCGATGATGTCGAACGAAAAATTATAATAATCGAAAATCTCAGCGATCTTGAAACCTGAAGCAAGGATTTGTAAGCAAGTAGAAGCATTCGAGTCCTTAGGAAGGCACCCTCGGTTTCCTTGCAGTTGATCGGTTTGCGGCCGCAGCTGCCAGCGATATAATACAAGCAGATATTGAGCATAGGCTTCGAATGTCGAGCCTCCCCTTTCCAGGTTCGACTCGAGGCCGTGTATAACGGCTCGCGTCCGTTTCCTCGCGCGTCCATAAATCGCCGCTTGGTGGCTATCGGAAAATTCCGATCGTGCGTGGATACCATATACGCGAGCAGAGCTGGCCGACCTGTTGTGGCACTCGCTGCACATTCAACAGCGGCTCGATTTCTGCGTTCAGGATGTCCGAAGGTCTGTTTACGCAACGAAAAATAAAACACCTTGAGAATCGGCCGAGCTCATCCTCGTCGATCGAACGACGTTTTGACATCTTAGCCGGCCAAGGATTTCGTAATTTAACGATCGAAATGCAAGGATGAGTCATCGGTGTGAGAATAGTTTGTTTCCTCGCGTGGTTCAAAATCTTTGCAAGGTACCGCACACTTTCGAGTAGTCGGTTAAATGCCATTGTCGTCATTTTATTCTTGGGATGGTTCGTGGTTTATAAAGAATTGGTTGACACGTGAAAACAAAGCAGAGTAGAATTTCGTTTCTGAAAAATTGATAATTTGGCACGACACAATGTCTGTCGCATCTTCTTAAATTGTACAGTTAACGTCGTTTATTATTCCACGTACATTGATGAGTAATATAACTCGGGGCACTGTAATTCGTCTTAAACACCAGTCTAAACGTACCTTTCGTCACGCCAAGTCGAAACCACGGGAATTTTTGAAGCATAATGAACGACCAGTGATCATCGCAAATTTCGAAACACCGGAACGAATCTCATCAAGAAAGCACTTCATCTGGTAGAATGATATTACGGCATACCTCGTGAACATAGTGCGAGGCCGATTAAAAATGGCAATTAATGTCCCCTACGTTCAACTATATGCACCGTGATAAATCACACGGTCGAACGTTTCGTAAAACGACGACGGTCGAAATTGTCGAAATTCGTAGACTTGAGAAGGCGTTTCACACACTCGGTTGAAACGTTGGATTTCTACGAACGTTACCTTCGATCCTACGGCTAAATCGTAGTGCAAAAACGAGCAATTAAGGACGTACGAATACTCAAAGCAGGCATTTACCGTGTTCCTTTTCTGTGTTTCGTTGGTCGGACCCATTAACCGTCGACAGACTTTCTAGCGTATTAGCCGGCACGATCTCGTAAAAGTTGACGAGCACATTAGCGTGGTACTGTGGCGTTGTTGCGGCCTCGTGGTCGTGGTCGCGGCTTTCATCGAGCTCCCCTTTCGACTCCCTTTTCGAAACGTTGCCCGTTATAAAGGAAACTTGTCACGCGTCACGAGGGATACGAGCACGAGCGTCCCACGGATCTAGAAGTGACGTCAGTCAGGCTGTTTGCGTACGCGAACGTCCACGGGGCGTGCAGCGATTCGGTAAAAGGGCCCCGCTGTGCGAAAGTGATTCGCCGCTGCGGTAATACTCCTCGCATATAGATACCATCCGAGTGAAATTAGAAATTTGCCGAAGGTCGTTCTTTCGTTTGTATTCCGCGCCGATCGAAATTAATATGGGCCTCGGTTCGCGGGGACGCGACTACACGGGCGGTCAACCAAAGCGAGCGCGTCGATGTTTCTCGACTTTATTTGAAAATTGCAATAGCGAAAGTAATATGTTTTTATGTTCTCCAGTAAAAGTAATAGAAGACGGAAATATTTCGGGAAAAAAGTTGCGTTTCGGCGTTAATAAATTTTTAAATGCGGATTAAATATTGTTACAACGAAGCATCGTGAGTACGTACAAAGATTACAGTTGTATTAAAAATTTAAATTCTATCTAAATACGAATAAGAATCTTACGAACCTTATTTCCCTGATATTATAGACACTTGGACGAAGCTCGCGCCACAGCGTTAAATTATCTCCACGTACAGTGGTGGCGCGGGGAAGATCGGAATTCCGTGGCAATTAATATTATTAGCGTAATTGCGAGGCGTAGCCGCGCGAGATAGACACCTTTATTGTCTATTCCAGCGCATAATTAAAGAAAGTTGTTGGAAGAGACGCGTCGACTTTTCATTGAAAATTATCACGTGGATTTTGCTCGCCTCGAAAGCACAGATACATATCTGATGAAACTTTCCCGGTGAAAGTCACGGATGATTCGCTATTCCAGTTTTTCGTACTCTCGTCTACGTTTCCTTCGATCTACCGTAGTTCTGTATTTTTCTCCGGTTTTAACGGAGAGAAGATGACGGATAGCGTCCCGTTTTGTTGGGAGTCGGTTCGAGCCGACGCTCCCAGAGTTTGATTGTCTTTGATTAATTACTCATGCTGTTTCTCGGCCGGCGGAAGCCGACGGGTAGCAATCTAGATAATGCGTAACCGTATTAACGGTTCA